AGGTGTAAAACTCACATTTAGATTTTAAATTTACATACACAGGAAGTCTGGTGAGGAAGAGAAAAAAGATTAGATATACTTACCCTGGATGGACTAGGATGTCCTCCGTTCCCCCAGGACCCTGAGCTAGTTCTGTCTTCTACATCTAGGGACAAAAAAGTTCTTTAGGCTTTATTGCAATAATTCTTTCCTTTTGTATAGGCACTTTTAAATTAATGTTTCAAATTAATCTCCTGTTGCCTTTAATTAAGAACCAGGCACAGGGCTACTACAATGATAGTGGCTTCTGACCCAACCACTTAAATTAACTCATTTAAATTCACAGCAGAAATGAACTGGACCCTCAGGAACCGGAGGGTTTGCACATAAAAATTATTCTAGTCACTCAGTCTTTCAGGAGACATTTAAGAAGTGGCTGGAAGTCACTGACTAAAGTTGGAATTCAAAACCTAGCGCAAAACCACACAGGCTCAAGGATAAAACTGACAATGCTACAAATAAAGCATACTCTCCCTATATAAAAGTTATTCTGTATAACTGCAAGAAATATCCCTTCATGAATCACTTTTGATGAATTGATTTGGAGAGCATCCCTCATAAAGAAAAAGGAAAAATTTGCAGGCTGAGGAATCCTGTGTTTCAATGAACCAAATTGCTGAATTGGGACACTAATGAACTTAAATTTCAGCTTGGCCATGAACTCACCAAATGCATTTTTCAGGGTTACCAACTCTTTAAATAAATAAATTTTAAAATCCCAATACCTGGAGGGGGCACAGTGATTGGGTGGGTGGAACTAAGGAGTCAAATCAATCACAAAAGCAATCAATTCACTCAGGCAGCCTTCCTCAACTTGATGTACTCCCGAAGTTTTGGAATACAATTCCCATCAACCCTGGCAGTTGGGCAAGTTGTCCGATTCTGATGAGGATTGGGAGTTCAAAAATGTATTGGCACAACAGGTTGGGGAAGGCTAAACTAAGATGCACACTGTACAGAATTTTTAAAGAGGTCACTGAGTGGAGAGGGGAAGTCCAGCTGTTGTCTTTTCCTGGTCAGTTGGCAAATCCAACTGATCAAAACTCTTCAGGGTGGCTTTCTGAAACTTGAAAACTTTTTGGGAAACTTTCTAACATGTTTTCAGGTTTGGAAAATTAACAACGATGGGAATAAAATATTCCAGTGCCTGGGAAGTACTCTTGAGAAGGTTTAGCTCAAAATGTGAGCTGTACTGTTGATCTGTCATTTCCTTTTGACTTGGAATATTAAGACTGTTGTTACAGAGATTTCCAAGATTTATTTCTGCCAATGCAAAGAAGCAGTTTGTAGCATGAACCAAGGAGGTTAAAACTTTGCGTTCTGTCCTTCATTCCTGATTTATGACTCTTAGAAAATCACCTTTTGGGAAGTGGAAGGTATAGCATTCACCTCGCAAAGGTGCTGCAAGGCTTAACTAATTACATATGCTAAACTGCTATTAAGACCTTTTTGATGAAAAAGGTTATAGGAATTTTTAATTATTGCTCTACAACTACATGCTTCTCCTTGACAAAAATGGAAGAGGGTACAGAAACGTTTGTTTCCCCGGAAAATTGCACCTCTAGTGCTTATTTCACTGGAGGAGGCTTCTAATGGAAAGCTACTCTTTTTGTAAATAAAATAAAGAGAGGAAGTGAGGAAGGGAAGAATGGAGGGGGGGAGCACACAATATGTTTCCACATGAGTTATTTTCATTACAGCTTGCTCTGTTGTCTAATTTTATTGACTTATGCCACCTGAGAAGGGAGGCAGAATGGCTGTTTCCAATTGTACCTTGAATGCAACCTGGTGTTCCTTGTGGATAGTCAGAGACAGTGCATCATGTGCCTCAGGGTACATTGTGGCAGTTCTGAGGTTGTGTCAGGGCCCAAGAGAAGAAACAGAAGTCCCTCAACTCTACTGTTTAAGGCAGAGTCCATTACGTGCTTTGTGGCATACTAAAGCACGTTGGAGTATGCTTGCCTGACTGCTCATTAAAAATGTGTTGAGAATCTCCTGTGACTATTCTAGTTAGGCAGACGTCCAGCAAAGCAATTAAGAGCAAGCTTAATTTTAAGCATAACTATAAAGTTCTAGTGAATTATTTTTTCCCAGTGATATTTAATATCAAATCATAACATATGAAGAACAGCATACCAAAGCAGGCAAAGAGAAAACATCCTATCCCTAAATGTTTGTGTTAGATGCATTGTACTGGAGCCAAGAGTACAACTCCTCCCAGCTGCATTGTGCTACTAGTAGTTTAAAGGGGCTCTACATTGTTTTGAAATAATTTTACACTGCCAGAATGAGGTTTCGTGATGAGAATTTAAGGAAAGCCCTGCTGCATCATACCAAAGGCCTGTCTTGTCCAGACAGACAAACAGTACCCAACCAGATGACCCTGGTAGCCTGAAAACCAGACACTAGTACAATGGTACTCTTCTGCCTGTGACCCTCAACAGTACCACCTCTGATCAAGGATGTAATATAGCAGCCTTTAACACCCATACCTCTATCAATTTGTCGAATACCCTTTCAAAGCTGTCCAAGTCAGTGAACATCACTACATCTTGCACAGCTTAACTATGTGCTTTGAAATAGTACTTTCTTTTGTCTGTCACTTTGTTCTGCTTCGTTGGATGACCCTGAGTTATATTATTATGAAAAGTCACTTGCGGCTTGACCAGGCAAGATGACAGAGACCCATGATCTGGATTTCCTGGGTGTGTCTTAAAATTTAGCAAACTGCCATTATGAGGGGGGAAGGGGATTTGGATTGGGCCCTCAGCACCCAGGAGGGGGATGTAACCCTTTCCCCATTTTCTTGAGTAAAGCTTACCATTCCCTGACAAGTAGATACTGAATACAATTCTTCCTCACGATATGGCTGTTTTCAGAAAACATAGGGATGGCTTCAGACCTGCATAAATGGAACCAGAATCCAGAGACCCAGAATGCAGCAGGGGCTTCCCACTAGAGGAAGGGAACAGGGTGGTGATTTTCACCAATTCCTCATTCCCTCTGCAGCCTGCAGGGCTGCCTTTCACACTGTTCCAGAGGGTCTCTCACAGACAGCTGTAGAGGGATTGAGGAATCAGGGAAAATGGAAGAAGCACCTTTAGCATCAGTACTTTGCTGAGCACAAGTCATGACCTAACCTATAGTTAGACTATGGAATTTTCTCCCACAGTAAGTAGTAGTAGTAGTAGTAGTAGTAGCAGCAGCAGCAGCAGCAGCAGCAGCATACCACCCTTCATCCGAAGATCACAGAGAGATTTACAATGTAAAAATACAAAACAAGATCACAAAATACATAATAAAAACAAAGACAAAGACACCCCAAAAATCCACAACACTTTTAAAAGGGCATCAGATGTCATAGGCCCGACACCTGTGCTTTTGCCTGGCACCCTAAAGGTGTTTAATAATGAAGGCACCAGCTGAACCTCCCTGGGGAAAGCAGTCAACAAACGGGGAGTCACTGTTGTTCTTGTGTTGCCACCCTCCGGAACTTTTGCAAAGAAGGCACATGAAGAAGGGCCTCCGTTTATGATTGCAGGGTCCAGGTTGGGTCATATGAGGAGAAGCAGTCACAAATGTATTGTGATCCTGGCCACCAGTTTGCATGACTTGAAAAGAGGATTGGACAAATTAATGGAGGATAAGACTGTCAATGGCTATGTTCTATCTCCACTCTCAAAGTCTTTATGCCTCTGCTTAACAGCTACTAGGTGGAGAGAACGCAGTTGCACTCAGGTCCTGCTTCCCAAGGGCGTCTGGTTGACCACTGAAAAAAAATAATGATGGACTGCATGGCCTGATCCAGCAGGGCTCTTCCTAGGCTCTCAATTTTTGGAAGGAAGGAACTGAGAAGATACCAGATGAACAGGACAATCTTGTTATCTGATGAATAGCCACAATTTGTCAACTGAATGCAATGGAATGGTGCTTTCCCCAGCAATGTGCACTGCTAAAAAATAGTTGGCATCCGTTCCTTGGATACTGTTTTGAGTGCTTAAATCAAGAAGCAGAAATATAAAACCAGAAGTCCAGTGTAGTCATTCTTACGGAGCATTACTGAATGCCTCCACACTACTAAAACCACATACTTCCTCTTTAAATAACTGGAACAACTTTCCAGGTGAGAGCAAGCCATTAATTTATCATAAAGGGATGCTAGAGCATTATCCGCCATCGCATTCATTATGGATTATTATTAATTCTATTACTTGAAACAATAGATTTAATCTGATTGAACAAAAAGGCATGTAGAAAAGATTAACAAAAGCAAAGCACTTAAATTACATGTAGAATATGAATTGGGTTTGCACGTGCAGTTATGAAGCTTAGGCATCTGCGCTGCGTATCTGTGACCTAGCTGTATGAGCAAAGAAAGTGTTTGCCTCCACCTTGATCTGTCCCCCTCCCCTTGCATGTTAACATGTTTGTTAATGTTATATTTCTCCGCATCACAATTCCTAATATCTCAATGAAACATTAAAGTGCTAATAACACAAGACATTCCAGGTAAATATTTAATTACATTCTTTAAAATATGTGCATCATTTAAATGACAGATCAGATCAACCATTGCATTCAGTTAATTAGGCAGAGCTTTTTAAAATCACGGGTGTTATGCAACTGATTATTAACTCTTTTGGATTCTGATTCAAGGCACATCCAAACCATAGATGAAACTGAATGGCTTTTCAACAGACTTTTTCAGCACATTTTGGCTTCACAGTCTCTGCTCCATTCTGAACGCTGAAATCACGTGCCCAGGAGAAATCAATCATTAGCCTAAGTGAAAATTGCACATATCTGAATACAGGATCATAGCCTAAATTATAATACATGGCATGATTTATTAATGTCCAGCTACTTATTCCGAAACTTGCAATTTTGTTTCAGGTGGTAACTGTGTTAGTCTGACGCATTCAAAATAAATAAAAAAACAAAAAAACTGTCCAGTAGCACCTTACTGACCAATTAAGTTTGTTCTGGGCATAAGCTTTCATGTGCATGCACACTTCTTCTGCATGCACACTTCTTCTGCATGCACATGAAAGCTTATGCCCAGAACAAACTTAGTTGGTCTCTAAGGTGCCACTGGACATTTATTTATTTATTGCAATTTTGTGTATGGCCTCCCTTCCCTGTAAGTGCAATACAACTTTCCCCGAAATTCCAGCTCCTCCACAAAAGTTTAAACAATAATATAAGGTGGTCATGTCACAGCTGTGCCAAATTTCAGCCTGCTGTAAATGAGGGGTATCCATCTTCCACTCAGGCAATGGGGTTTCTCTTTCTTCTCCTCCCTCCTGCAGCCCTCCTTCGTGCCCCCAGTCTGCCACAGAGGTTCCTCAATGCTCAAGAGCAAATTTTGTGGGCGCGCCAGGTGCTGGACTGAGAAGAAGAGTATGGGAAAGTTCTTTTACATGAGCAGAAGTCTATTACACAGGCAGATGGACACTGTTGGATGTCACCCAAAGTTTATGACTTTAGTGGGGGAAATGTCATGTATGATGTAAATATTTCAGAAGCAATGATCCTGTAGCATACCCCATCAGTAAAGAGTGTGTGTGTGTGTGTGTGTGTGTGTGTGCAGAAAGGTTATAGAAATCAATATTGATATGATTGTAGATATTATTTATTGTGACTACTGCAAATATGTGTGATCCTCTTGTGAATTCCAAAGTGTTTTCAGATCCATTAGGTCTTTGCAACAGCCATTCCCACATTTTACTACAAATGTTCCCTCATCAAAATTCAACAGAGAAACTAAGAGGGTGGCCAGTCATGAACTCTATATGTGAATTGACTTTACTAGTATAACCAAGAGCAAACTCTTTCTCTTCCTAATAACTTATCTGATTGAAATGCACATCTCCACTTAACTCTCCCAAGACACATATACCCTAATCATGTGCAAATTTATTAGCAAACAAAGTTCGGATTGCTGCCAAACAGTGTGATCCACAAGACATTTAAACAAACATACTTTAATTTAATCCACTGTGGTCACTTGAAGTCAACGGGACTCAACAGATGATGATTCACAGCTGAGTGTTTGACCTGTTGCCAATAAAAAGTATTGCATAAAGCATAAAATTTTGATCTCTGGTGTTTGATCTGTGATATTCCATTGCTATGTGCAAATCACTGCTTAGTGCTATTGTTATTCAAATTCCAAACTTGTTTATGTGAACAAGCCGCAGGTATAAAACTACATCTAACACTGCTTTGGCTACTTTAGCCATGGAAAATTCATTCAGTATCCTTAAACTGTGTGTAGAATGGAAGCAGATAATTCGAGATCTTTAGGACGGGATCCAACTAAATGATTAATTGTATTTAGGAGTTTCATGAAATGACATCTGTAAGTGCAATACAACTTTCCCCTCCTTTTTCATCCAACCCTCCAGCGCAGATCTTGGGTAACATGGGGGACAGGAGAGAGAGGGGAAGTCCCACTGCAACTGTGGAGTCATTCCACATTCACAAGGATACAACCCTCAGACTTTCTTGCACTAATATTTTTCTCTGCCAATTAACTCCCCTCTATTTTTACCCAAATGTCACATAATACATGCAAAAGTTCATTTTAGCCTAACTTATGCTAAACATTCGGCTACTTTCATTCATAACATAATAATGCATGCCTATATCCTAAAATTTGGTTGTAATGATCCTAACCCAGGTTAAACACCTTTCAGCTTATATTGTTCCCATTGCTGCTCCTAAGTTCAAGGGTGTCTGTAGTGGCATGTAAAAGTCTTCTTTACCACGAGATAGTCCAGAAGCTGTGACGATAACTTCCCCCCTACAGACTTCTCCACAACAATGCATGTCAGTGATACCTCAAGGCTAAATTACAGCAATGTGTCCTACTCGAATACGAACATCATGAATGTAGATGAAAAGACATCTACAGAGTGAACAGATAAACATTCCTGCAATAGCAGCATTCTCTCTCTTTTTCTGAAAAGGGCCAAAAACATGATAGAATCCAACTCAGATATGCCTCTGAATGTTGTGTGTCATGTTGATTTCATCCTTCAGTTGAGACCATCAGACTGAAAACCTACAATTTCTACCTGGGGGGGAAATGCACCTGTTTTACTTCTGTGTCCTGCAGTGGCATCCATGCGTGCAGATCCTATAGTCACCGATTCCTAAACATTCAAAATGATAACTGTATGAATTTAACTGGAAAATCAAAACAGCAGTGCAAACTACAGCAAAAGGAAACTGTATGTAGAACTAGGGAAAATCAGACGTGAATGTTCAGTATTGCTCATATACGGCCCCCCAAACCTGAGGCTTATTATGCAATTCTTTATCTACAGGTGGAGACCATTTCACTTGGGGGTTTCATTCCCAGACCCCCATGCGCACACCGGCAGGGGGCATATAAGCATGCCCCACCCCGTTCTGCCCCCATTCCGCCTTCTTCTAGGTACAAAAGGACCCACATGTCGGCGATTGTGCGTCAACTAGATGTGCCTAAAATGGTTGTCACTCATGTGCCTTTAACAGGCAGAATGGAAATGCAAGTATCACCCATAACTACATTTCTGATTTCAAACTGGGCCAGGATATGAAGAAGTTTCAACTTAGGCTTTCCTTAGATTTATGGTTTGATCTGTTTGTATCAGGGCTGGGTAAAATTCAGTCTTACTTGATCTCTATGCCCCCAGGATCTACTAGCACAGGCATAGGCAACCTTCGGCCCTCCAGATGTTTTGGACTACAATTCCCATCATCCCTGACCACTGGTCCTGTTAACTAGGGATCATGGGAGTTGTAGGCCAAAACATCTGGAGGGCCGAAGGTTGCCTATGCCTGTATTAGAATCCCCAGGATCTACTAGTATATGTTAAACCTGCTACGAAATAACATCAAACAAAGCTGTGTTCAGTGAACCTATGCATAACTAGTGTCTTTTGGGATTAGAATAAGATCCACTTTAAATTCAACATCGTATGCAAGAATCACAGCAAGCAGTAACAATTAGGTGGTCCACTATTGAATGGTCCACCAGTGAACCGTCATCTCTACATTCTGCCCATACTTGATTTAAATCATTTATAGGCTGCTGGATCACTCATGCAATAAAGTGAGCAGACCTACTTCTGGTCTCTCTAATGAGAGATGATGAGGGCAGGAACTGGTATCTGAATGGTGCCCTAAGAGACTTAAACAGTTCATTCTAGTAGAGGAAACACCATTTGCATTGTGATTGCAAAACACCATTGGCTGGTATCAACAGGCTGTTTTTCTAGAGCAACACTCACTTTTAAAACTATCAATACAGAAACTAAAAATCCTGGGGCTGGATTCTGCACTACTGGAAGCCAGAACAAGGACTCCTCTGCTAGCGTAATGGGGCAATTCCCCTCTCCTCCCCCAAGCCTGCTCCCGATTTGCTCTGGGGGGTTGGAAGAACCCACAGAACAACATACAGGGTGGGGTGTGTGAGGTGGGAATAGTTCCATCTAGCAAGCAGAAATGTGTGCATTGTTTGGGCAACAGTATTAGTGTGATGATGAATTCCATCCATGAGGGTTTTCTCATATTCCTGCCAGAGATCTGAAATCTATATACAAAAAAGGGCGTTGCTGCACACATGATGCAGGTATTTTTAATTGCTCGTTAGTGCACAGCTGATCACCATGAGAATCAGGCCATTCTCACTTCTTCTCCATGCATAGATAGAATACATCAAATATGCTCCCTACTTGGCTGAACCACCATATACATCACAAGAGGTGTACATGAACATGTCCAGGGACTCCAGCATAGCAAAAGAAGAACTGTGGAATTCCCTGTACCCAAATCTGCTAAAAGTAAAAATTTCTTCTGAAAAATCAGGATTTTGAAGATCTGTTTTTTTATCTGTTTTTCTTGGGGGGTGTATTAAATTTCTGTTACAATATGTAAATTACTGAGGTAAGAAGGGATGGGGACAGAAACAAACAAATACAACCTGATGCAAGAACTAAGAACATGTACAATATACCTACCCACCCATGTCAGCAAAGCCAGGGGATCATGGTGCCAAAGTTCTCTCATGACATCACTGAAAGCTCTTTGCCATCAAGCTATTTTAATTTCAGCTTTACAATATTCAGGTCTTTCTAGCATATTAAGGTTTTACTCAGTGATCTGAAAAATGGCAAGCAATCACTCCTGTGTATTATCTTCGTAGGTCGTGCCTAAGCTTTCAGCCAATTTTCTTTGTATTTAGACTTAAATGTGCAAACCGCACTATATTACTCTGCAAAGCATCAATGAGAAGGCTTAATTAAGTAACACTGACAGATAAATCCATTTCTTTTTCAGTAATCAAATCAAAGCAGGTTGACATAACACAGAAACTTAATACAGTTACTCCCTTGTAATTGGAAAAAGGCCCTTTACTTCTCATTAAAGTAATCTTCTGGGTATTGGCATAATAAGACATCTCAGGGATTTAATATTACCCTATAAAAGTCTCAAGATACAGACTCCCTTAAGCAAACATGCAAGATTATCTAATTCCTTCATCACAGTGGAACATGTCGTTCCTATTGTTTCAAAATTGTTAATTCTTTATCTCATCTATAGTCCAAAAGGAATACATCAGTATATAAAAAAATGAAGACACAAATGCTATTCTTGAAATGATTTCAAAACTGAATGATGTGCTATTACTAAAATTAAAGGGTTTTTTTGTTTAGAATTTATGAAATACTTGTACAAATTGGTTACAAAGATATTGGGCAAACCTAACTTTACTACTATAGGTTTCCTTGCTTTGAAACTTTTTTTAAAAAAAACAACAACTTGAAAGCTTTCCATTATAAGTTCATTTTGAGCTTTTGAATCATGACTGAAGCCTGGGTTCTTGATTGAGCAGTCACTAGGAGAGGTACAATAGGTTGAGGAAAACAAAAGGAAAAGGAAACTGGGGGGAAATTACACCAGGAAAAAATTCTGTGGTTACTACCTAAAATCTCAACAGAGACTGAAAAAGGCCTAAACACATCTTCAACCCCTCGGTTCCATGCGTTTCAATTTTAGAAATTGTTCCTAATCTATTTGATTCTCACAACCAAT